CCCAAGTCGCCCCTCTCTCCCTCTCTCATCTCCTTCACTCCCCCCTTGGATCTTCACCGATTCTTCACCGTTTTGGCGGATCGAGATGGCCCCGAGGAGAGAACCGTAAGCTCCTCCGATCCCTCCAATTAGTTTTTGCAAACTTGCTACCGATTCGACGCATTATTTGCTTGAAATTCCTCATGTTTTTGAACTAAGATTGATTTTTTTCACCTAAGATTGATTGTAGTTGTAGTTCTTAGTTCTTTAGTAAGTAGTGGTATTGGATATGTACTCTAATCAATAGTTCATATGTTAGTGTGAAGATGAACCCTAGTTCATAATTTTTTGTTAAAAAAATTATGATGTAATGTTGATAAAGGGATGAACCCTAGTTTGATGATGCATGTGATATGATGATATGATCTAGTGTGAAGATGAACCCTAGTTTGATGATGCATGTTGATATGATGATATGAAGATGTTGTTTGGAAAATTTTGTTTAAAAATATGAAGCTATGATGTATGTTGGATTTTTTTTTGATATGATGCATGTTGATATGATTTGATCCATCATGTGTAGTAGATGTTGTTGGAGGAATATGCTTAAAATTTTATCTTCATATGATTTGAGTTCATTGTTTGTTTATGTATGCTTATGCTTATGGTGCTTTTGTTTATGAAACTCTATTAAGGCGGCCACCTCTTGCGGACAACATCGGCCCACGGTACTGCATGCTGGACTGGGCATTCGACAAGGGTCATCGTGCCCGTTTCATAGAGAACGGAGAGGTAAGTGATATGGAAGAAATTTTGATCAAAGTTCTCGGATTGATGAAAATGATTTCCTAACTTTTTGGCGTTCACTTTTTGACAGACGCTCCAGCCACTGCGCATGAGGGGTCACGGGGTTCATGGGCATATGGACTACGACGAGCGCTACGCGCCGTTCTTCAAGAGAGCCCGTCTGTTGGGTTTCGTGCTGTAGTTCAAGCGTCAGCCGCCGACGCTTGTCCACGCGGCTCTCACAGCTCTGATTGACCGTTGGAGACCGGAGACCCATTCTTTCCATCTGCCATGCGGGGAGATGACGGTGACCCTAGAGGACTGGGGGATGATTACTACAATACCGATCGAGGGTCATGCACTCACCGGTCGAGTGGAGAGGGCCAACTGGCAGGAGAGGGTCACCACCCTCTCGGCGACTGCCCCGGTGCCAAGAGTAACCGTACATCCGGTGTGCCGTTGATCTGGCTCTCGGAGCACCGGAGAACATGCCCCCAAGGCGCAGATGAGGCGACTGTGGAGTTGTACGCGAGGGCCTATCTGTGGTATATTCTCTCGGAGGTCGTGTTTTCAGACAGCTCTGGGAACTCTGCCAACTGGGCGTATTTGTTCTTCCTAGCGGACTGGGATGCAGGGTACAGTTGGGGGACGGCATCTCTCGCCTACCTATACCGTTCGGTAAGAGAGTGTCTAATTGCGTACCTACCTACGAAAGTGTGTCCATGACATTTTCTTATATCTGATCCTCATTTGATGTTTTGCAGCTTGACGACGCAACTCAGAGGACGGAAGACAAGTCCAATATGGGTGGCTTTGTCTGGGCCTTCTCCATTTGGATGTGGGAGCGGCTGCCGGTGGGGCGTCCGGAGAAGTTGCCAAGACGCCCATCGGAAGACTATGGCGAAGAAGGCGACGAGACCCGAAACCCCACTGTAGCTTACGAGTGGGACGTTGTCAAACTCTACACGGGCCTAAACAAGACTTCGTACAAGACCTACACCAACGAGTTAGACGCTTTGACGCACACGCAGGTATATGAACTCGCACAACACCTTTCTCTTTGATTCCGCTATTGACCGAGAGTGCGAACTTACCAAGGTATATGTAATAGGTAATCTGGTGCCCGTATCGACAAGAACGAGAGTGGGCCTTTGATCTGAACGTGATGTGCGATGCGGACCGTGGTATCTGGCGGTGCATCGTGCCCATGATCTGTGTGTACGCCGTCGAGTGGCATTTGCCACAACGCGTGGCCACACAGTTTGGGATTTATCAGCATACCCCACCGGGCCAGCCCACCGATACCGGCGGCCACGCGCTGCACCTGTGAGCTCTTTGTTCTCCGTGAGATTATCATGTTTCTTGTTGCTTATGATGATCTCATTGCGCTTATGATGATTCTTGTTGCTTATGCCTTGCAGGATGAGCCGGCAGAAGAATCAGTCGATCACAGACTGGGGAGAGGAGCATAAGACTCATGTGACAGAGTGGAACCGACGGAGGTGGCGTAAAGACGTGGAGAGGAGAGTGACTAACAGGGATGATTACCTGGGCCGACACATGAGGTGGTACGATGATGGCCAGAAGCACCGTCTTCGTCTCAGGCCTCGATGGACGGCGGAAGACATCGCGGAGCTGGAGTGGGCTGACCCCGATGAACAGGCATACCAGACCGGCATCAGAGACATGCACAGTAGATTTAGGGAGTTTGCACCCCTCATCAACAGAGTGGTACGTTTGAACCAGCGGTCGTATTTAAAATATTTTATTCGTCAATGTGACTGACTTATGCCGTTGCAGTCCGGTGAGCTGAACAGATGCATCTTTGAAGCCTCAGATGCACTAGGTCATCTTCCCGGAAGCGTACAATCTGAGACCAGAGTTAGGGGGACGACGAAGGTACAATTTCAGCCTCCTCGGAACAGATGCATCTTGTTCACTTGCAGTCAGTCGATCTGATACTTATTATGACCTTGCTTCATTGTGAGTGCAGAAGTTCGTGCAACGTTGTCGCAAGCTGGTAGGGCTGCTTGGGTGTGCTGGAGCTGGGTCAGTTGAAGCTTATCAGCCTGTAGCCACACAGGGTCTCATCGGCTCATCGAGCCATGCTCCCTCGTCGTCCAGGTTGGTTGGGGAGGAGGAGGAGGAAGAGGATGAGGATGAGGAGGCCACACATGAAGAAGAGGAGGGGGAGGAGGATGAGAGCAACGGGGAGGAGGAGTACGATGAAGATTATGGACCTCCACCAACTCAAACATCTCAGGCATCTCAGCTGCCGAAGAGGAATCCGAAGAAGAAGGATTTGCTGAGTCCGGACCCTTTCTAGAGACCGGTTCCTCGCCGGCCCAAGAAGAAGACCGAAGAGGCTCGTTCAAAGAGTAACGAGGACCGTACCTCCAAGAGGGGAAGGAGCAACTGATTATGCTCTTCGATACTTGGATCTTTTAGTTTGGTTGACCTTGTCTAGTGGTTGTGAAACTATGTGGAACTATGTGTTTGCTATTTGTGGATCTATGTGTTTGAAATGTTCTATGCACTTCAAGTTATCTTAATATGGATCTACGTGATGCCCAAATTTAATTGTTTAAAATCTATGATATTGTTGTTATATTTGTGATACTTGCTGTGATATTGAATTTGAGAACAAGCAACCAAATGAACTTGAAAAAACAAAACAGAGGACCCTACCGCCAGGAAACCTGGCGGTAGGGTTACACAACCTACCGCCAAACACCATGGCGGTAGGGTGAACCTACCGCCAGGGCCCTTGCATATTTTGTTACAGAAACTTTATATGGCAAAACGCAGGACCCCACCGCCAGGCGCCCTGGCGGTAGGGTCAGACAGCCTACCGCCATGGGTCCTAGCATATTTCGTTACAGAATGCATGTACGGCAAAACCCTGCCACACCTTACCGCCAGAGCACCTGGCGGTAGGGTTAGACATCTTACCGCCAAGTTATCTGGCGGTAAGGTACTTATCCACGTCAGCGCGCGGTGACGGCTGCCGTCCCCCTCCGTCACACCCTACCGCCATGGTGCCTGGCGGTAGGCTGTCTAACCCTACCGCCAGGAGCTCTGGCGGTAGCAAAATGGTCAAATCCCGAAAATATTTCAAAGTGGGGTCAGATCCTGAATTTGTTTAGGAAAAGGGTCAAAACACGAAATTTAGCCTCAGAGGAACTAGAAGCTATGTTTATATTCCACTTGTTAGACATTTCCTCTTTCTTTTTTAGTTGACTTATTACTAAACATTTCCACATTAGCGAAATGCAGTCTACTGACTTTAGCTTTTGAGTCAGTCGATTTTGAGATGGCCGAAGAGGTTCGCCAGAGAAAGGCCGGAGTGAAGGAAGGAGCTCGTTGGCGGGCTACCCCACCATCTATCTTACAGTTGCGGTGGGGCGGAAGAACGATGGCGGTGGTGCAACCTTGCCGGAGAAAATCTATGTCGGTGTCGACACATAATGTACATAATCATCCACTGAAACATAGTCTAGTTTTTAAATCTAAACATGAACATGAATTTAAAACTAAAACTAAACATCATCGTCACCCTTATAGAGGGCGAGCCAATCCGCCCGCGACATCCCATCGCCCATGGTGTCCGCCCCTGTGCCATCATCACTGCTCTCGAGGAAGATGCATCACCATTCTTCAACATTGAAGTCATTGTCGTCCTCCGTGCCGCTGTCCTCCTCGCCATCCTCTACGACGCCGCCCTCCTAGTTGTCCGAGAGGACGATGACCTCCCCGTTGGCCCTGCGCTCCGCCTCCACCAGCTCGGGGTACTTGCGGCGGAGGTCCGCCATGTACTCCTCGTCTGCGGCCTCCGTCGCGATGCGCTCCTGTGCCTCCCTAACCACCCCGATAGTCAGCACCCCCACCCCCCGCGGCGGCGGAGGCTGCAGCGGACTCTCGTCCGACGCAAAGTTGAGGCAGGCGGCGGCGCCATGCAACCGGACTTGTCATCGGTTGTACTCCTTTGCAGCGAACTCAGCGGTGTGAAAAGAGCCCACCCAATGCTTCTTGTGGGTCTCCTTGTTCGTGATTTCGGCCACCCACGTCCACCACGACCGTTGTCGGATACCGAGGTAATTCCTCTGCGGCGGTGGCGGCACAGGGAGGGCAAGCAAGCCGACCAACCCACCAAAGGGGTTGCAGTGTTGCGGCGGCGGTGCGAGGAGGACGCATCCGTGTTGTGCTTGTGGCGGCGTGGATCCGCGCTGCAAACGGGCGGCGGGGACTAGTGGACACGGGATCCGGCCATTAGGGCGACGGGGGACGGCGAGGATTCGCCGACAGCGGGGTTTGGGGAAGACAAGTGGGAGAGAAGGGTGAAGTTTTTTTTACTATGTCATTGAGCGGTGGAGTACATATGTGCGGGATAAGCGATGAAGGATAAATTGTACTCTAACGATTTTAGGGGTTCGGCTAGGTCCTGAGAGAAGTAAAACCAGACTTTTACTTCTCTAATTGATTATAGCCCACCATGCACACTGAATCTTACCACTTGCAAATACAACAACACCAACAAGTACTCCCTCCATTTTTATTTACTCTATATATTAGCTTTGGTCAAAGCCAAATTTTGACAAATCAATATCTTAGATTCATTATTGAATACACTTTCCCGTCATATAAATTTGCTATTGTAAATGTTGATATTGTCTTCTATATACTTGATTTTACGAAGTTTGACTTCAGTCAATTTTAATATGTAGAGTAAATAAAAATGAAGGGAGTACTAACTCAACATCTGTCATGTGATCTCATTGGCTTGCGGTCAGCATCTTTTTCTATCTGTCTGTAGCCACCAGTGAACATTCCTAGACGTCAGAGAAACAAGAAGCTCTTTTACTGATAAACATTTTACATAGTGCCAATATTCTAGCACACTAACTCTTACAAGTATAATATTGCAGATACAGCCTATACATCCCCCTGATCTTTTCTTTTTCGCAGGAGAGGAAATGGCTGTCGATAATAATAGTAATTAGTTACAGTTAAACCAAACAAATGAATGATGAGCTTTAGTACTACTACTGCACTACTCCTGCAGTACGCCGAAGTCAGTCAGAGGCATCTTTTTTTTTCATATATTATCATCCTCCTGCTGGGTTTTAGTCGTCGGCCCACTCGGCGGGGTTGGGGTGGGCGGAGAAGTAGGCGAGGAGGCCCATGAGCGGCGCATTGATGTACGTGGTGGGCTCGGACTGCTGGAACACGGCGCGCGCGTCGGGGAAGGCGTCGGTGGCGTCGCTGGGCCCGCCGACGACGGCGCCCACCAGCAGGTTCGGGTTAGGCGCCGCGCTGGCGTAGTAGGCGGCGCCGGCCTTGCACCCGATCCTCGCCGGGTGCGCCGCCACGGACGGGATGGAGCTGCCGCGGTGGTGGATCCGGCGCGGGAACCGCGGCCCGTAGCCGACCATGTAGGACATGCGCAGCGGGTTGTCCCCGAGGATGTAGTCCACCTGCCGCTTGGCCACCTGCCGGAGCTTCGTCGGCGGCGCAGACCTGCCGGCGCCGCAGGAGACGTGCGCGCCCGCGTGGCTCAGGTAGTTGGAGTAGGCCAGGATGAGGAAGGAGAGCGACGTCACGTGCTGCATGTTGCTGCCCCCGACCTTGAACAGCAGCCCGCCTGCATCCCATTTCTTGATTACTCCACCAGTTCACAAGAAGCCCATTTTTTTCTTGCTGTGTTTGGTGCAACAAACCTGGGGAGTACTGGATCTGGGGGTGGTCGGAGATGCCGGGGAGGAGGGTGCACATGAAGTTGTTGGCGTTGGCGCGGAAGGACTGGAAGTACTCGTCCTTCCCCATTAGAACCTCCTGGTCAATCAAGAACACGAGAAAATATTATTGGCAACAAGTTCAGGCATGATCTAGTTCTACTACTAGCTGGTAGTAACTTGATTCAAATGGCAGGAAGAACATGGGGGATTCTGGATTCTGGACTGGCATGACAAGTCAAGAGTGAGGACCCGTGAGCCCCTAAAAAGTGCTGCTACCGTTTGCTGCGCCGGCAGCGTGCGGAGCACAGGGGCCTAGGTAGGAGGAGGCCAAGATAGAACAGACAAGCATCCTCCTCGTCTCCTATTTGGTGGTACGCCACCACCGTGCACTACCATAATCAGAATGCATGCACACTCCATTACTAGTTTACTACTGCCTGGTCATTGATTAATCTAATCTGAACCGGGGCATCATGCAGATTCAGTAATCAGTAGCATCTGCCGTCGGGGTAATTTCAGAATGGCTGATCCGCTGGCAAGATGTGGCCATATGCATATGCATCGTCAGAAACTAACTGAATCCACATGCAAAGCTTAAAGGTGTAAAAAAAGCAGCAGGCAAGACAGTCCATCATTAGATCGAGTGGCTTGCTATCTTATGTGTAGTACTCTTTTACCATCATCATCAGTAGCTGTACTGCATACAAAGACCAAAGTTGCATGCGGAAGGAATATCGCATAACTTGTGCTGTGGGGAAACCAAAGATCGATGGTGGAAACAGCCAAAGTGCCAATGCTTCCTATTCTCAGGAAATGTTGTGCCGCATGGAGAGGAGACAGTGGAGTAGCAATGCAGTACTGTATGTTACTAGTGCCTACCTTGGAGATGAGGACGTTGATGCCGGCGTGCTTGTTGTCCCAGCCGAACTCGTTGATGGAGTCGCTGGCGCCGAGCACCACCTCGTTCTTCTTGATGTACTGCCGGTACACCCTCTTGCGCGACGCCTTGTGCAGCCACGCCGCCGCCCACAGCAGCTCGTCCTGGTACCCGTCGAAGTCGCAGTAGCAGGGGCACACCGCCGCGTGGAGGCTGCTGCTGTAGGCGCCCCGGTACCTGTCCGCGAACTTGAACACCTGCTCGTTGGTTTGATTCTTTCATGTCAGAGCAGCTGACAGATACAGTGCATTTGAGTCGTCAGAGTCGAGGCTTGCGACTTACGGCCATGGCACGGTCGAGGAGGCGCTGGGAGTAGACGGGGTCGGCGTCGCGGAAGACGATGGAGCCGGCGGCGAGGGCGGCGGCGGTCTCGGCGGCGACGTCGGAGCCTGGGTGGGAGGGGTCGACCTTGTAAACGGTGCGCGGGGTGTCCATGTCCTCGGGCCGCTCCCAGCAGGAGTGGTCCTTGAAGGCGTCGCCCACCTGCACGTACACCGTGTTGGGCTTGGCCGTGGCCTTCATGAAGTAGTCCGTCGCCCACCGCACCGCCTTCCTCGCCTCCTCCTTGTGCGGCCCGAAGCTGCGGCCGAAGTCGATCAGCCCCCACGACATGAGCGTCGCCGTGAACGCCATCGGGAACCCGAACTTCACGTTGTCGCCGGCGTCGTAGTACCCTCCCGTCAGGTCCACCTGCAGGCAGCATTGCCATGGAACCATCAGCACTTTCTGTAAAAAAGAAAATGTAGATCAGGATAATGCAAGAGGAGAGTGCGTACGCCGGCGGCGGCGCCGTCGTGGAGGCCGGAGTCGCGGCGCCAGCGGAGGCGCTGGTCGGGTGGAAGCCTGCCGGAGCGCTGCCCCTCGAAGAAGAGAATGCTCTTGTGGAGGGCGTCGCCGTAGTCGTGGTGCCCGGCCGACGCCACCGCCGGCAAGAGCAGCAGCGCCAGCAGAAGCACAGACGACAGCCCCATTGCTGCCCTGACCGGCAACGGCGGTGAAGCCGGCGCTGCGGCTGACTGGAAGTGATTAAGCTAATGCAGTGGCAATGCAGCACTCACTAGCTGCTTGCAGCACCGTCCGATGGATCAATGCTTCGACGACTGGGTGAGTGAGGAGGTGAGTGAGGTGTGTCTACTGGAGTCAGCAGCAGGCCGTGGTTTAATAGTGGCCGGCGGAGGCGAGGCGAGTGAGGTGGTGTCGGAGCCGAACGGGCGGAAGGTTAAATACAGCATGTGACGGGCGCAGACGTGAACCGATGGAGTGACCGGAGGGGAAGGAGGCCTAGGATGCCGGGCAAAGGCCAATGCGGTGGCGGCACGTGGACGCGGCGAACGTTGCGGCGCCGGTGGCTTGGTTGGCCTGCAGCTGAAGGCTTGAATGTGCAGTACTCCACAGGACTACTATTACTCCCTTTGCAGTTGCAGACATCTGTGCCGACGTGCCGTCGGTTGGTTTGTTCGTTTTGGCCGTTGCTCCACCGGCTCCTAAACTCACACTCGTATAGTAGTTTTGTTACCAACGGCTTAAGCTCCTTCATTTGGCCAGATCGAATGGATAAAATGGTTTCGCAATGTCTCTTCTTGCGGGGATTGGGAAGAGCTTTGGTGTGATCAAAGAAAGTTCAGGGAAATATTCCGGTCCTCCTTTTGAGGGGAAAAAATTGCACTTCTCCTCTGGCGATGATGGATCAGTGATCGACGCAGCATGCATGACATGGCACTCACTCATCACAGTAGGAGTACGGGACGGCGGTGTTGTAGATGGGAGAAACGGTCATCCGGGGCAGCAGTTACGACGGCGGGGCCCGGTGCTCAGCGTGCCCTGTCCGTGCCGGTCAGTGATTCATCACTGCTGTTCTCTCTCGGGCTCCGCCGTCACTTCTGCTCTCTCCCTCTCGCGCGCGCTCCGATTAGCCCTACTAGTTAGGAGTAGGTCTCTGAAACAAAGTTCGCTAGCTATAGTTACCAAGCTGACTAGCGGTACAGTTTTTGTACTGTTACGGATAAAATGTCGCCGAATGATCCATGGTCCATACGAAGTATAGTACAGACGGACTCCGGAGGATCGACCCGTGCGTTACAATCTACTACGTTGCCATGACGACAAGCACGACGATCTTGGTCATTAGCGCGCCCATCACTGGTGCATCCGTAGCAGCTTCGCCGAATCTGACCGTTGGGCCTGGTGGAAAAAAGGGACCATAGCCCGTAGCTACGGCCTACGGCACGATGCATGGGGCCGCCCGAATGCAAGGGGGCGAGGCCGGCGGGAGGAGAGCCGTTAAAGCGTAGTACGTGCTGTGCTGGCTGGCTGCCAAAGAAGAAGAACCTGTAGAAGAGAAGCGTGGCAACTGACAGAGCTACAGATCGATGCTACGTGCCTACGTGCGTGCTCTGCCGTGCGCAAGGGGGAATTCAATGGTTGGATCCTTGCGGCCATGGCCGCCGATCGATCGATTTTCTAACGGCTAGGGGGAGGGAGATGTGTGGCCGGACGGACGGGGGCGCCCCGTCGTCCACTTTGCGTGCCAGTCCCGACGGCCGGAGCCACATGGCCTGCATGCGCGCGGGCGGCGGCTGCAGCCGTGGTACGATGGTTTAGTACTTGGGAATGGCCGCGCGTCGCATGCCTTTGGCGTTTGCCAGGTGACCGGCCGGAGAGCCGGAGATGGGGGAGACTTTCGTGCTGCGGCGACAGGGGGATCACGGAAGTAACAACGGTCGTCTGAGAGAGTGAATGCTGGTCAAGTTGCATGCTGCGGGTGACTGAACGGAACGAGTTTACTGCATCCGGGAGAGACAGACGGGCAACGGTCTGATGGCACGCTGAAATGAAATGGGCGTTGGCCCGCTTGTTGCACAAGAATAGTCGTGCCGTCCTTGTGAGATCGTGTCGTGGCTCCGAGAAGATTGGAGGACCAAAATGGGCACAGATCGATAATCCAAAATCTATATGCAGAGCAAGTGTACGAACTAGCAGCAAAGAGGGTTTCTACGGTAGGCCAAAATGGCCATCTGGTTAAATTTTGGGGAAATTTTTTAATTCATTAAAATTGTATTCCAAAACACATGAACTTTTCTTCAATTCAGGATTTTTTTTCCTAATGCGAGCACTTTTTTTTTTCCAGAATGCATGAAGTTTTTCAAATTCATCCAAAATTTCCCCAAATCCACGAACTCTTTTCAAATTCTTGTTTTCCCTCCAAAATCGATGAACTTTTTTCAAATCAGAGTTTTTTTAGAAATCAATGATCTTTTTTATGAATTCATGAACTTTTTTTAAAATGGCAAAATACCTTTGAATTTGATGAATATTTTGAATTCCTTTTAAAAGTGATTTTTCTAGAAAAGTCAATGGTGGAACGGTTAGCCGACCGGTCAACCGCACTCAGCGAACCAGGAAAACCGGTGAGCGAGCGATCGATCACCTCCTTGTTGGTTCCGCCCATGAAGGGTGGTGCCGGCTACTCTCCATGGAGCTTAAGGCGTCGGGAGGAGGAAAATTCATATTTGTTGCTTACAGCGTCAAACTCTTAGCATTCGCACATGCGATCCTCTCAAGTGTGAGAATTTGGCCGGCCCACTTTCGCATAGTGAGGCAGCCGGATTTTTGAACAGATAGTTTTTATATACCTGTTTCTGTTTGGTTTCTTTTTTCTTTTGTTATTTTCCGTTTCTTTTTTATTTATTTTTGTTTTCCTTTTTATGTTTATTTTTCAACTTTAGATATATTCTTTTTGCTTTCCTTTTATTTGTTGTTAAAAATCACAAATTTAAGAAAAAATCAACATATGAAAAATTGTTCATTTTTTACGAAAAACATTCAAAAATTCCAAATTTTGTTCAAGAGGTCGTCTGAGAGTGAACGGAAAACAACGGTCGTCTAAGAGAGTGAATGCTGGTCAAGTTGCATGCTGCGGGTGAGTGGACGAAACGAGTTTACTGCCTCCGGGGAGACAGACGGGCAACGGTCTGATCGGACGCTGAAATGAAATGGGCGTCCGGCCGCTTGTTTGCACAAGAATAGCCGTGCCATCCTTGTCATCGTGTCGTGCTTCCGAGAAGATTGGAGAACCAAAATGGCACGAATCGATAATCCAAAACCTATCTGCAGAGCAAGCATACGAACCAGCAAAGAGTTTCTACGTTAGGGCATCTTGAACAAGGACTCTCAGACCGCCTACGGCGCAGTTAGCTATCCAACGTGGTACCTCATTAGTCTGCGGACCGGTTCGGTTGTCCATTTTTCCGTAAGCCGAACGCAAATCAGGGGAATTGCGGGCATCGGGACAACAGCCACGTACGCGTCCGACGTCCTGGTCCCATCAAAACCCTCTTCGCTCGAAAAACCGTCTCCACACAAAGCGTTTTACCGCACTTTCTGAAGGAAATATGCCCTAGAGGCAATACTAATGTTATTATTTATTTCCTCATATCATGATAAATGTTTATTATTCATGCTAGAATTGTATTAACCGGAAACATAATACATGTGTGAATACATAGACAAACATAGTGTCAGTAGTATGCCTCTACCTGACTAGCTCGTTGATCAAAGATGGTTGTGTTTCCTAGCCATAGACATGAGTTGTCATTTGATTAACGGGATCACATCATTAGGAGATTGAACTAGGTATTGAGATACCGACGATCGAATCTCGGGCAAGTAACTTACCGATGACAAAGAGAACAACGTATGTTATGCGGTTTGACCGATAAAGATCTTCGTAGAATATGTAGGAGCCAATATGAGCATCCAGGTTCCCCTATTGGTTATTGACCGGAGACGTGTCTCGGTCATGTCTACATAGTTCTCGAACCCGTAGGGTCCGCACGCTTAAAGTTTGGTGACGATCGGTACTATGAGTTTTTGTGTTTTGATGTACCAAAGGTAGTTCGGAGTCTCGGATATGATCACGAACATGACAAGGAGTCTTGAAATGGTCGAGACGTAAAGATTGATATATTGGATGACTATGTTCGGACACCGGAATGGTTTCGGAAGGTTTCGGGCATATACCGAAGTACCGGGGGGTTACCGGAACCCCCCGGGGGGGTTATTGGGCCTCATGGGCCCATGTGGAGGAAGAGCAGAGGCGGCCAACTAGGGGCACGCATCCCCCCTAGCCCGAACCAAATTGGACTAGCCCCCCCTTTCCTTCCTCTTCTCCTCCCCTTCCTTCCCCTCACCTACTTGGACTAGGAAAGGGGGGAGTCCTGCTCCCGGTGGGAGTAGGTTTCCTCCCTGGCGCGCCTCCTCCTGGCCGGCCTCCCCCTCCCCCTCCATCCTTTATATACGGGGGCAGGGGGCACTGACGGTGTCCTGGACTACGAGGTACTGATGTCTACTACACAATCTTCTTCTTGTAGACGTTGTTGGGCCTCCAAGTGCAGAGGTTTGTACGAGAGTAGCAAATTTCCCTCAAGTGGATGACCTAAGGTTTATCAACCCGTGGGAGACGTAGGATGAAGATGGTCTCTCTCAAACAACCCTGCAACCAAATAATAAAGAGTCCCTTGTGTCCCCAACACACCCAATACAATGGTAAATTGTATAGGTGCACTAGTTCGGCGAAGAGATGGTGATACAAGTGCAATATGGATGGTAGATAAAGGTATTTGTAATCTGAAATTATAAAAACAGCAAGGTAACTAATGATAAAAGTGAGCGTAAACGGTATTGCAATGGTAGGAAACAAGGCCTAAGGTTCATACTTTCACTAGTGCAAGTTCTCTCAACAATAATAACATAACTGTATCATATAACTATCCCTCAACATGCAACAAAGAGTCACTCCAAAGTCACTAATAGCGGAGAACAAACGAAGAGATTATGGTAGGGTACAAAACCACCTCAAAGTTATCCTTTTTGATCTATCTATTCAAGAGTCCGTAGTAAAATAACATGAAGCTATTCTTTCTGTTCAATCTATCATAGAGTTCATACTAGAATAACTCCTTAAGACACAAAT